CCTCAGGCATGCGACTGCTACTTTTATTTATGGAGCAGTCCCAGTGGACACAGTGCTTTGTTAAATATTTAAAGATGCTCCTTGTCCCAAAGTGCTTTAAGTCTGAGATTTTCATAGATTCATAGAGCTTAAGCCCAAACAGGACCATTAGGTCATTTTTTTCTGATCTCCTGTGTGACACAGAGCAAAAATTCTCACTCAGTAACTGCTACTCTGTCATGGTGCTAAGGTAGCACAGATGTCTTAGCAAGACATCACAATTTTATTTAAATACATTGAACAGTAGAAAATGTAGTACATGACTTGGTAGATTGTTCTAGGGACTCATTACCCTTCCTGTGAAAACACATGTTTCAAGTATCCTGAAACAGACTAGCTTTACAAAAAAGCCAGGTCTCTAAATAATAATAATAGGCTGACCTGTTAAACATGATGGAGGGAAAGACTCCAGAGGAGTTCTGGAATAAGCCTCAAACACAACTTTGTAAAATCTTGAGGCTGAATTTCAGGAGAACAAACTTTCCCTTACTTGCTTAGAGGTCTGTAATGGGCTGGACACCTCATGTTCCACCTAAAACTCCCCTAAGCAGTTATGTGCTTCCCTGTGCTATGTCTGTTCCTAGAAATGGTGCTTTTGTGGCTGAGCAGATCAGCTGGGCACACTTACCCTGCCTGAGGCCAGCTTAGAAGCTGAAAATCCCAACAGTTAGTCAGGTATGGAGTGTCCTCATGCCACAGGCAGCTCTGTCCTGTTAAAAAAACAGATGGCAGTGGCAGCTTTTAGTGCATATCAATTTAGCTTCTCTGGTTTTCAAGCCTTTACTGATGAAGTATCAGCTATGGGACTGAGCCAACGCCCTAGGAGGTTTCTATATGAATGGTGAGAATGCTATAAACTCAGGCACACTGACACTTTTAAAACAAAACGCTAAAACTGTGAAGTTGTGATGAAAACAGATGATAAATGATTTAGGGTCTGTGTTACTTCTCAGGAGGACACAGAATCGCGGGCAGCATTGGCAGAAAAGGAAATTTCATCCACAGTAATAAAGCATCTGTATCTTTGTGTACCAGTGAGTTGAGTGGCAAGTATCTCTCAGAGCCATGCCAGTGTAATAAAGCTAATATATCAACTTAAGAGAGATGATAAGCTCTTTGGAAATAACTGTGTAGTTGGCAAGCAATAGCTTTTACTCATTATATTACAGAGAAATAAAACTGGGTTTTGTTTTTTTTTGTTTTTTTTTCTCCCTGCTGTGGTGCATTTAAGAAATTAAATGCAGAAATATTCTCCTATTGCACTATTAGGTTGGAAAAATCATGACTGCAAGTGGGAACACATTCCAGAAGTGAAGGTTTCTCCCACTTCTTTACTGTGGTTAGATTGCTCACCTATTGTATTTCCAACAAATATTGCTGGACTAAGGCTCACATGTAAGGAATTTCTTGACAATACCTTTTTTACCTTTTTTTTTTTTTTTTAGGAAACCTCTGTGTTTGTGCATATTTGGGCTGCATATTTCTCCCCAAGAAGAAGAAAGTTACTCTCTAGTTGAATCTGCTGCTGCTCGTAGAGGACTGTTTCTGAGCTTTCAGCCAGATCATTGTTTCACATGTGTCTTTGCTATCAGTCTTTTATAGCTGTGTACACAGCACTTTTTAAAGTCCCATATAAAAAGCAAACAAATGTATGTTACTTTTAAATACTGAGTAAGTCTGTAATAGCATGCTGCCAGAGCAATTGCATCAATCTCCTGCAGGCAAACAGGGAAGCTGAATTTGGAAGTTTATTGAGTCTTTGCAAACCAGCCATTCCCATTTTGTGTACTTCATAGCTGTTCAGTGGGAAGCTTATGACAAGGCTCTGGCCTTTGTTTTCCAGAACCAGGATTTTCTGCTTCCATCTTACCCAGGCAGCCATAGGCTGCTGCTTTCTCACCTCCTGACAACCTGGTCTCCTTGCCATAACTAGCACTAGTGTGTATAATGATTCCAGAAATTGACTGACAGAATCATGCTAAGATTGTGTTTGAACTGTCAGGTGGGGCTAGGAAGAGAACTATATATATATTCCAGTACTTGGAACTTTCACCTTAAAAATCGGGCTGACAGGCAGCCAGCCACCTGCCTGCTTTAACACTAGAGGGAGGCATAGCCTAGAAGAAATTGCAAAGGCTTCTAAAATAGCACAATTTAGAACGATTTATGTGTCTTGGAAGGGAACAAAACACTGATTTCTTTTTAAAGCCTCTGTTTTTATTGGAATACATTATGGGAGGCCTCATTTGTTGCCCAGAATGCTTTTGGCCAGAGTGAAATTCAACCTTCCTGATGAGGCGGGCAGATTCAGCTTGTGCTGCTCTGCTTTGTCTTAGCTCTGTTCTCCTGGGACAACCTTATGCACAGGGCCTGGAGGTAGTTCAGCCTCTATAAATAGCTTATTGCTGAATGCTTATGTGAGCAGATTTGGAAGGCTGTGCCAAAGGATGAAGAGTTGTGTTGTTTTAGTTCACTTTAGACTGACAGACTCAAAAGATTTCCCTATCTGGCCTCAGTTTGTACTCAAAGCACAGGCCAGGAAGATGAAATGTCAGTGCCTCACTCTGTATTTATTTCTCCATAATTGCAAGCCTATAAGCAAAATAATAGTGATTGACTTAATGATGGTGGCTATATAGGGATGGTTGTGGTCCCTGAGGAGGCTTTCTTTCTCCCCCATTACCCCATTATCTTCTCTTGCAGCATGGATCCTGTACCCTATAAGGGGTAGATAATGCATAGTTCCACCATTCATGGTAAGACTGCTTCCAGGCCTGTAAACTGTATTTTGCTAGGTTGCACAAAAAGACCATAGAAAAATGTGAATAGTTGTTTAAGAGCCTCACAACAGCTGATAATAACTTGGAGTTGTATAAAGCATTTATTGTACTGAACAGAGAATGGGAAGTTACATTTCTAAAGTAAGGATCAGGTAGTGGAAAATTCTCCAAGTTACTTCCAGCGAAGGAGGAGAGGGGGTATGATTACCTGTGTTTACCTGTTCTTTCCTCCACTCCTTATTGTCAGGAGTCGAGGTGGTTCATTGAGAAGGGAAGTGGTGTGGGAGAAACAGCCCAGGAGCTCTGGATGTCCTGCCTAAATCTTTCAATGAGCTTTGTTCAATTGAAATGCTTATTTCTTCTTCTCCTAGGCTTATATTTGCCTTGCCTTAGCTACACCTAGCAGAGAAAGGGGTGAAGAATGTGCTTTGAGGCAGTCATTTCCAGTCAGGTAGGAGGGATGAAACACCGCTGAGGGAGCAAGATGGACAGATATGGGATGTGTAGATGGAGACAGAAACAGATGTCAGAAGGAAATGTGTAGAGGGAGACTGGAGAGGAAAGAACAGATGTGAAGAGTGAGAGTAGGTCTGTCTGTTATGAAATCTGGGGCCAAGAATTAATTGCTGAGCAGGATGGTGCAGAGGTATATGTGTGACTGTTTTGAGTGGCTGCATTGCGTGTACATAAATCTTTGAATATGAGTTATAGCACATGCGCTGATGGGCCCAGGTGCTCTAGGATCACTGTGATGAAGCTCTTGAGAGATAGAAGGTCTGTTGTCAGCAGGTGGAACTTACAGACTCTTCAAATGAATGACAGGAATTTAAAATAATAAAATGTGTAAGCTGCAGCTATCAAGACCTGGTTAAAGTCACTTAAGCTGTTCCATGGATTTATCCTTCAACAAGTTTCAGATAGTGCCTTTTGTCTTTTTGGCAACACTTAAAATGTCCTGAGTCTCTGCTGAAGTGGGACTTGGTCCACTGTTCTTACTGCATCATGCTGCTCCAGCTAAGCTATTTACTGCTTCTAATAAAGGAACTTTCGCAGTGTCTGTCTGCAGATTTCATTGAATCCCTTGGACACCTCATCATCTGTGATTCTCACCAAAGGCCTTGAGATATGTTTTGTTAAAGAGCTAAAAGAAAATTGTGCTGGGAAAGCTGCTGATGTGGTTCCTTTTGCCTTTCAGAGCAAAAGCCTGCAGACCTGTAGTTATTATAGCAGATCTCTGTTTAGAGTAAGGAAGATTTCTCAAGGTGCTGTTTAAGACTTCCTGGTTTGTGCTGCAAATTGTTAATCAGTCCATGACAGCATAAATAAAATTAAAGGGTTTAATTAAAACTAATGAATGAGTGAATGGAGAATACACAGCATGTTCCACTTGCAGAGTGCTGGTGCTGTGAATAATTAAAATGTCACAAAGCAGGAGATGTCTTAGTAAAAATGTTGGAGCTGCAAAAATAGAGGCCCCTGAACTTTGATAGTTTGGGAAGGTTTTGCTCTTTAAATTGTTTAAAATCAGTTTATATAAGCTAGGGGAAAGATACAAAAATATATACAACTCTGATTTTTTTTATGATGAACTAAAAGTGGAAGTTTGGTGCCATGCAAACTCCACTGCATTTTGGATCAGTTTGCACATCTGAAGATCTGTTTTCGTACTGTATTATCATACCAGTATCACCCAGATTAGTTTCTTCTTTTGAATCATGTGGCTGTATTCTTGCAAAGTAAACCTATTACAGGCTATTATGTTGTTACTTGTTAATGCTCTGTTTACTAAAAGTACAAGCATTCATTTGATTTAAACCCAAACCTGAACTACAGCCTGAACTGGATCTGCCTTTGGCTTGGGTTTGGTGTATGTGACATGGTCAAGTAACAGGCCAAGAAAATAATTTAGCTGGATTGTTTTAAATAGATCCAGGGGGCATGAGGTGGGAGTTAGTAAAATGAGAACAAGAGGCTGATCAGACTGCTGTGAATCTTGGGATTACAGGTTAGACCCATAATATCAGTTCTAGGACTAACAGAGAGACATCTTCCATGTTGCTGCTTTACAGTGGCTTGCTATTTTCTGGGGTACGATGTGTTTGATACTACGCCTTTGTGACCTATTCCAAGTTTGGTGTTCCCCTTCTCATCAGCTCTGGACTTTTCCCCAGATCTCCTGACCCTATGACACCTTTTGAGGCAAACAGCCTGTTGGAGGATGAAATAGGATCTGGATAAATGTCCTGGCTACTGACATTACTGATGAAATAGTAAGGCCCCTGCAGCCTGCTTTCTGTATCATCATGACCCAAGGTGAGCATCAGTGAGGGACCTTACTCAGTAGAGGGGTTTAACTACATGTGTTGGGAGCTTTAAAAGGTACCATACCTCCATCAAGTGCCTCTAGAGGCCATGATCTAATGGTAGGCAAGTTGGAGCAGGGTGAAAAGGTGAAGATCATCTATGAGGTAAGTGACTATGCTGTTGTATAATCCTAGCTCCATATTGTGTAATGTCTTTAGATGGCTGAGTGAATAAATTTACCTTGAGAATTTCCACCAGTTTAGCCTGGTAGGTGAAGACTAGAAGAACAGTGGAGCTTCCAGGTGGCACCATGGAATCTTCCATGTCTAAACTGGGTATACAAAGCCTCAGCACTACAGATATAAACAATATATTGCCCCTCAAAGCTTGGTTGTCTGTTTAGTGGAAGATCAGACTAGATTACGATAATGGTCCCTCTGAGCCTTAAACATTTATAAAGGAATGAGTAGACTTTGCCAGGAACTTAAATGATTTCTGAATGTTGCATTAAATACTGTTCAAAAGTATGGCATAACCCTAATGTATTTTCCGTTGGCTTAATTCTTTGGCATTATGAATATTGTGGAAAAAAGGTATCTCAAAAATGCATATCTCTCAGGAGAAAGCTTTTGAAGGATATGGAGTTTTGTGCTGAAAATTTTCACTTTCCGTATATGTTTTTGGCTTATTTTGGTCCAAATTTGAAATATTTTGGAAGCAGAACGTTGAGAGTCTACGTAAAAAAAACCTTAGTTCTCCCTGCACCTCACTTTGGGTGTGTTTCAATTGGGGGAAGTTGTACTGAAGAACACGTGGACCTTTCAATATGCCACAAATCCCAAGTATCTATGTGTTATCAAATCAGACTAGGCTTTCTGGCTCGCCCTATAGCATTAGAGGCCTTGGTTACCCAGAAAAAATAATAATTATTAAGCAACAATTGGAGTTAATTAGGTATGGTCAATTCCTCAAATAAATGATGCTGATTTTTGTGAATTCGTAGACTTCCATGGTTACATTAATAATTAACTACAAATTAAAAATAGTCACAAGTGTAACTGAGAAAATATCTTACCACTGGTTACTTTATGATTCAGTTTCAATTAAAGGGTTTGGTACTCATTTTCAATCAACTGGGGCTTGTAAGCTGCTCTTGGTGACATCACTGTAAATCTGGGGTGAGGTTCTTATGAAGTCAATGGCATTACTCCAGATTTACATAGACCTTGCCAAAAGTAAAATAGTGTCCATCGACTAAAGCATTCCCTTATCTTCAAAGGGAATTGGTTTCATCTGTAATAAAATATCTCAGGGCAGCCTAGGCTAAGCCTAGTTATTTGGCTTCACTGAGGCTCTTTGTTGAATCTTTTCAGATTTGAACCTCAAAGGTTGAAATCCATAAGCAACCTTCTATAGACTTCACTGGAACAGATCCAGGCTCTCTAGAGCCGCTGCTAAGAGGGTTTTCATTACAGCAAGATACAGTTACGTTTGCAAAAATTTGCTGGCCTTTTCTTGCATATAAAACCTTGTATTTGCTAAATTCCAGAAGCTAAAATGTGATTATAATGTGATTATAATGCAGCTAGAAAGAGAAAGGGATCTGTTTATCTGTTTTGCAAGGGATAGTTCCAATTAGATATATTCTGTTGTAAATATCAGCACAATATTTTTTTCTGAATGTGGATCACTCAGTTACCTCATTAGTTAATTTCTTAGTTACCTGTGAAGTGATCAAAAGCCAAAACTTCAGATCAAGATTCCTCAGTGAACAGTCCCATGTTTTTAACTTAGACTCGTTTAATGCTTGGTACATGGTAGGGCATACGGTGTATGCTACAAAAGCAATACCTTTTGTATATACCTAAACAAACGTATTGCTCTGCTTTCCTTCAGGGCACATACAAGGAACCATTAGCCAGTAAATTGTCCATTAAAATATCTTTGCTCAGTGCGTTCAGGATGTTGGCACACCTTTTTCCAATTCCTGTATATTGCTGCAAGAATAATGTAAAGCGGATCTAGGACTGGTTTACAGAACCCAAGATTTTTATCTTATGCATTATTCGCATCCTTTCTGCGTAAGGGAATTGTGGCATGATGCAGCCTTTCTCCTACCTTCAGGTAGCCTGGTTGATACTCCTGGAAGCATCTTCCTTACTGTACGGGTATCACTGCTGTTGGCATGTGTAGGGAAAACAGTGCTCCCAGAACTGCTGGATAAGAGTAAATAGCAGCATGATGCAAAGGAAAGGCTGGAGAAAAGCCATCTGGGTGTAGGCTGCTGACACCAATATGGATTTGCCAGCATTCAGTATGCTTTCACGTTGTTCTCAGGAGTGGTCCTAGCAAATTGTCGTGGAAGAGTCCACAGGCTGATCTAGCAGTTCTAGCAGTTTATAGCTCCTGCATCAGAAGGAAGCTTGGAAGACGTTTTTCAGCATATCCATGAACAACCATGTCAGGAAGAGGGGATTTATCCTTTGATTGAATGGGATCCACCCTAGACCTCTCACTGTTAGGGAAACCTTTGTGTTCTCAGAGTATTTTGGGTGAAGATACATGTTTTGCAGCCCTTCTCCCTGTGTAGTATCTGGGGACAGCATTCATGTATAACCAGAAGTATTGTGACAAAAAAAATAAAATAAAATAATTAAAATATCAAAAAAGAACTTTGTGACAGCTAAATTTATTAGTTAGGTCAGCCTAAAGTAACATCACAAACCCTGTATTGTGGGTCACATACAACTGCGATACACCCAAACCTGGGACAGTATCGTGTATTTATTCATCATCCAGATACATCTAAATTAGATGATGTATCTTAGATTTTAGATTGATATATCTGGATAAAAAGAGCAGTAAGGAAAGTAAAACACTGGGGCAGGAGTCCAAAGGGGCTCAGAAGTCTCTATCCCTAGTATGTAATTGGAATTGCCTTTGTTGTGTCTTGGGTATTGCTGCTCACAGTATTAATCTGATTTTAGACTGTTTATGCCAGCAGGCCATGGAGTCATGCAGCTTTAAATCATCTCAGTTATCTAGGGTAGGATCAATACCTAATTCTATAAAGAAATCCTCTTAAAAAGGACAGGAGACCAAAACTAGGATTGATAGAGCCCTGCAGTGTACACCTCCAATTGCACGTCAGAGTGTTGTCAGTTTCCCTGATACAATTTACACTGCATCAAAAAACACAAACCTCAGCAAGTACAGAAAGTGAAAGCAGTTTTGAAATGATCTGTGCTAGAGCAATTCCCTCCACAATAGGTCTAAGCTTACCCAAACTGATGCTTTTTACACAAATGATTATAAATAGAAGCCAAAATTTCGTCAGACCAATAGTGCAAACTTAACATATAGGCCCCTTGGTGTCATTTGAAGAAAATTAATGCAGAGGGCCAAAGAGACAGAGTCTGCAATATGTAATGCTCCGGAGACATAGCTGAGATTTTGTTCCTAGTGTAGCAGAAATAAATGCTCTTGTCAAATCATAGGGGAGAAATAAGACGTGCATAAGTAAGATTAATCAGTAAAGCCAGTGTCTATCTCATGAGTTATATCTGACATCAAAAAGGCCAAGGTTGTTGTATGTTAAATTTGTGCTACTACAGGAAAGGAAAAATAACAAATAATCTCCTGTGCAAATTGTGCTGTAGATTTGGAGAATGTGCAAGCCCCAGTGAGAATGGGGCAGGGGAAGAAGGAGGGGGGCCTCCTTTTTTCTCTCTCAATAGAAAACAAAGTATGAAATCATGACCCAAGCAAAATGAGTGACAATGCTCCTGTGGTCCTTAGTGGGGCCAGGTCCTGCCCATGATTTGTGCATACTGGGTTACAGTGGAAGAGCTGAATTTCTCAGGCTTTACTTAGGTAAACTCTCAGAGAACTAAGTGGGAGTGACAGCTGGCCAAAGAACCTGATTCTCTCTGCTAAAGTGATAGATATGTTAAATCAGAGGCAAGGGAATTTTTTCCTCAGTGAGGGTCAAATAGGCTTTTCCTATACTTCTGTGATCCACCATAGTGCAGTTGAATAATGAGGGGACCAGGGCAAGTAGTGGCTGCCAGTGCAGAGCTGTGGTCCCAGGCTGTAGGTCCCCTGCTCACCTCTTCTTCCATGCAGTATCTGCAAGAGGGACCTGATGCAGCAGTACCTCTTCCCTGTGTGCTCACCAGTGATGGCCTGATATGTGCTGCTTTGTCTCCTTTTGCAGCAAACCACTGGGCTAGCTGTCTGCCCTTTCTGCAAGGAGAGGGAGGTCGGGAAGCAGAAGTGCTGAGTTTCTGCAACATTGTTCTCTGTTTTACTCCTAGATTCCTGGCACAGTTGAACCTTGTGATGCACTGGGCATAGTTTTGCGCTGCACGAAAAATTGACTCTTGGCAGGGTCTGGGGGAAAACATATCAACAGAACTCAAAGGTGGGTTTTTTCAGGACATGGGGCACAGATACCTAGTTTTGTTTTTTTAAAGACAAGTGTGTTGAAGCAGGCAAACGAAGCCCTTTACTGTTCTTTTTCCTGCTGGTCCTGTCCCCAGCAGTTTTCTGGGTCTTACTCTAGAGCTCAGTGGACCTTTCAGGCCCAAGTCACCCTCACTGTTAGCAAGGGAAGAGAGCAGTGCTTTCAGTATATCAGAGATGACGAAGTCAATGGAAGGATTGCACCTCCTCTTGGAGAATATCATTTCTTGCTTCTGTCCATGTTACGCAGCTCAGTTAATGCTCCCGCATGGGCCCAAGCCTTCAAGGCACAGTATGTCTCTGCTAGTTTTGTGGCAGTGATTGTCTAAGCCGGTTCCCCTAGGACTGAAATAAGAGACCTCCTGTGCTGAAAACACTTTGGTCTCTTCAGACTGAGCTAAAGTGGGCTCTGTAATTAAGGTTTGTAATGGGCTTACGTCCTCAGGGAAATGACCACAGGGCTCAGGAGAGGGTGAGAACAAAGACTGGGGAGTGGCCTGTAGGAAATGGCCACACAGGTATCGGGTGTTGGAAATCCTAGGCACCAGGGCAGGAAGGTAGCTGGATAGGGGTCCCCATTTCATTTCCATGGCAGGACTTTGTATGGAAAGCACTGTGGAAGAGTATTTGTTGCTGCAGTGTCAAACCCGAGCTGCTAAGCTGGAGTTCTGTCTTTCTCTCTGTGTTAGCAATGCTGTCCTGTTCCTTTTTGGTAGAAGGAAGGCTAACATCTGCCCTGCTTTTTAGGATAACTTTTTCTCTTTTTGCTCAAGTCCATTTTCACTTGCCAGTTTCCCCAGAACAGAAAAACCAAGTCTTACCCTAATACAGTATAGGAGATTAAGCACTGCAAAGGCAAAATAGCACTGAGTGGAATAAGATCAGAATGGGAGAATGCGCCTTGCTTGCACCACAAACTCATCCGCTGCGGACCATTTCCAAAGGGTTTTGGATGCTGATGCTGGTAGAGAAAAAAACAGCACCCCTGCGGTCCTGCTGATGGGGGAACAGAGGGAAGAGTCAGCAGGACCGGGTGGTGAGCCAGTGGTAGTGGCAAGTGCTGGCTGCAGCAGTGCCCAGTTTACTGGGGGTGCTTCGTGAGCACTGCACCCAAACTGGCAGGCAGATACAGAGCAGCTTTTTAAAAGCAGCAGGAAGACTTAAGGCTAGCTCTTGTGTGTGTGGGAGCTGTTAGTGTAGGAATGTGCTAGGGGTTCTGCTGCTGGCTCATTCGTATTAAGTGTCTTAAATAGAAAGTGCAGACAGAGGGGCTAGTTGCCAAATGCATTTCAAGATAAAAGATGTAAAGATGGAGTTAAAGGTGAGATTGTGTATCAATCTTTTAAAGGTTAAAATCATGTTGTAATTAGCTATGCAGTTCCAGGAACTTCTGAATACCGCTTATATTGACAAGACAACCTGTCATATTAAGAGCATGCAATTAAAGCTTTTTTGCCTTCAAGCGCTGAGGATGAAAACCTGATAAAGATGGTAGACCCAGATTGAAAAATCACTGTCCCCCAGCCCTGACCTGCAAGTTGTGAGAAGAAAGTCCCACACATATGGTTAATGCATGGATTTGTGCAGTGAATGGAACTGTTAGCTGCCCTGCAGTTTATTTCTTTGTGAAGAGGTGCTCTGTGCTCCTTGGATGCTGGGAGGCAATGAATGGATGACTGCAAGCACAGATAAACTTGTCTGCTTCTGGAGTCCCCACGTACTGCAAATGCCTTGGGACAAAGTACTTGCCCTGCGACAGAGAGTTTGGTGACTTGTGCTTCCCTGTTTTCTGGTCCAGCTTTGTATTGTTTCATAGCAGAGACATCCTCTGCTCTGCAGCTGTCATAACACTTGCAAACCACCCACTCTTCACAGGAGCAATTACATGTAACCCAACCCCTTGCCGTATGTGCAAGCTGATCTCTCCCACTGCCCTAATTCGGGCTCCAGAATCCCTTTGTTTTGCAGCGCTGTCACCTCTATAGCAATCGCAGCAGACCAGCTTCATTATTTTCCAATTTGTGCTCTGGGCCCTGAGACCTCGGACCCGCCAGCTTTCTCCCAGGGGAATTCCACTTAAGCAGCTCAGACAGGGTGCTGTCTGCTGGACATTCCCTCGCCTACCTCTTTCGGAGTAACTAACAGACTGATTTATCTTTCTCCTAATTGTATCAAGCTATTTGTCAGCCATAATTTTTGCTTCTGATTTAACTGTCTCCTCTCTGCACGGCAGCAGAAATTTTCCGTAGAGCTTAGCTTATTGGTGCTGGTTTATTTTAGCACTTGTTGCAGTTTATCATGGACCACCTTTCTATTTCTGCGCTGCCGCATACCTTACTGTATCCTAGGCCAGTTTGAATATAGATCATGGGGAAGAGGTCTGACAGAAGAGGACCCTCTCCCTCCCATGGAGTACAGTTAGTTTTGCATTGTTCCATTCTGCATTTTTAGATCAGGAAATTTGCTGTTGTGGGCAGACCTTTCCAGGGATGTTGGGGCTGCAGTTGTTGCTACTGTTGAGTTTACTTTCTCAGACAGTGTTTGATTTGAACTGAGATGTTCTGATTGGGACCCAGATTTTGGTTGTCTGAAGTTTGATGTTTGTATCCACTCAGAACTTAGCTGTGAACTGCCTCAGCCCTCAAAAAAAGCCCCAACAACCCACTAACAAATTTATTTCTATAAAAAAATATGTATTAAGTACACAGGTTTGACCAGAACAGCTTCTCTGTTTCTGAGGAAACTTCCATTTTAGTTCAAACCAAAACACAGCCTGTACTGTTTAATTCACTGATATCACCAATAGTTTCATTCATGGCTATCGCTGATAACTTTTATTTATCCAGCTTCACTCTGTACAGCGCCTGCAAAAAGTTTCTGGAAAAATATTGGAGCTGGAAATGCTCCAGAGACCTGCATGTGATGAGGACAGTCCCTCTGTGACTTACTGCTCGGGCAGTTCAGAGCCTCCCTCACAGCCAGGCAGGGTCTGATCCACGCGGCTTCCCTGCAGCAGTGCCTTCCTCTGCTCCTCTCTTAAGTTTGTATCACAGCCAGGTCCCTCTGACCTTGCTGGAGGTGGACAGTGAGTGAGACCTTTTGATCTATTGG